GGAATGACCCTAAACTCCTTGTATTTTGACATCTTATTTCTGTAGTCCACACATACTCCGACCTTCTAGCCTTTGGTCAACTGCAGTGTTCCAATAAATCTCAGTCCGAGCTCAAGAAACAGCACCTCATCATGCAATTAGCCATTTTACAACACTCCACATAACACAAGAGTTCAACAATTTCAGATTTACACTGTTTTTCCCAGACAGGTCCAAGGGACAATATGCTCAATACAAGCAAAGAAACAGTAAAGTGTATTTCATAAACTGCATTAAGCTTGAGGTTGTAGACTTGCTTGCTGAGCCAGTCGGTTTGGTTGCAAACGTTTCGTCACCCTGCTACGTAACATCGGTGTTCTGTCCCGCTTGTTGTTTATATGCTTCGGTTTGCTGGGGTGGTTGGAATTACTTCTGGTTCTGTTTCTCAGTGGTTCGTACACAGGGTCTAATTCAATGAAGTTTCATTAAGTTTAACAAAAACTGTGAGAAAGGGGGGAAAGTATTCAATGATAAAAAAAATCACAAAAGGCAGGAGAAAGAAAAATAAGCAAGTCAAATAACTCCAAATAGAGGCAAGCAAAGTGAGAAATGTGAGGAGGAGAAATTGGCAGGAAGTCAGACAGACAGATAAAATCCAAAAGGTTTTGCTTACAGATGATTAAATCCTTCAACTGCTTTTATTACATCCTAAATGTTGGTATATTGTGACCATCGCCTCCTTCGCTCAATCAAATAAAGCATTGACCCCCACCCCGGTAATGATTCCAGCAAAGGGTTTAATCCCAGAATGTCAAATTGTTCTTCCCCACTTTTTGGATTCTCACAGATCTGTGTGTCCAGTTTGTTTCTGTGTTCTTTTCATGTCCCTAATATCAATTATTTTTGTCATTTTTTTTGCACAGGAGAAACATTGTTTCAAATAATTATTTATGTTACATAAAAGGATGGGTCACTTCAAAAGTGCAGTCCTGACTGATTTAAAGCTAATTTACAATCTGTTCACCAGTATCAAAAAGCTTCAACCAATCAAGATGGGGAAAATACCGATGCGAAAACATCAGACTAGAAAAATCCAGATAGCTATCAAGACACAGGTGGATAACAAACAATTGTACTAGAAGCAGAAATGGGAGAAATTGTTAAATTTTCAAAGCTGCTTCGAGTCAGTTCCACTGAAAGCTCCAAAACCTAGAGCCTCCACCATGACCTTTCAAAGGATGTTTACGTTGCATTTCTGTGATCTCAGCATATTGAAATGTTACACACTGTCACTACCCCAAAGGCAAATAAACTCCAGGCAGGAAAGCGCACACATTTTAGAACAGTACTTGGGATACTCTGAAGCCAAAAATATTAAACTTTTAAAAAACTGCTACATGGAATTACAGTAACATGGAACTAATAGAAAGCAATTGAGATATTGAGATAGCACAGTAAGCTGTAGAGATAAGCTAGTCGCTCTGCTCCAAAACTGTTCAGTTGTTATTTTAAGAGTAGAGATTTATTAGTAGTATTTATTACTAAATTAATCATTTTAAATTCCCAGGACGTCATAAGCCTTTACTCATGTTTAAAGACATAACTTTACGATCAATGACATCAAGCCCAAATGTAAAACATTACATCCGGTGTGTTGAAATAGACAAGAGGCTATTTATCGCAATGCATTGTTTCTATATTATTGAATTTGTATGCGCTGTCTATTCCATTGCTTTTTCTATTAACAATAGAATTATCCATAGACCTATCAAACTACAGAGCTGCTCTCTGGGCTGTCTAAAGACAGACAACTAGCGGCAGTTTAACCTGAGGGTCGCTACGTCTCAGGCAGAGAGGGAGGAGGTTGAGGAAAGTAGGAATCTCAGTCAATGTGGGAATTGAACCCATGCTAATGGCAACACTCTGCATCACAAACCAGACATCCAACCAGCTGAGCAAACCGACCCCCATCAATAACATATTACTGCAGCAACTACAATTTACCACTAGTGTGGTGTATTAAGACCATGAGACATAGGAGCAGAAATTACGCCATTCTGCCCATCGAGTCTGCTCCACCATTCAATCATGGCTGATAAGTTCCTCAATCCCATTCTCCCGCTTTCTCCCTGTAACCCTTGATCCCCTTGATAATCAAGAACCTATCTATCTCAATCTTAAATATACTCAATGACCTGGCCTCCACAGCCTTCTGTGGCAGTGAATTCTATAGATTCACCGCTCTTTGGCTGAAGAAGTTTCTCCTTATCTCCGTTCTAATAGGTCTTCCCTTTACTCTAAGGCTGTGTCCTCGGGTCCTCGTCTCTCCTATCAATGGAAGCATCTTCCCAACGTCCACTCTGTCCAGGCCATTCAGTATTCTGTAAGTTTCAATTAGATCCCTCCTCATCCTTCTAAACTCCAATGAGTATAGTCCCAGAGTCCTAAAACATTCAGCTTCTCATTCCTGGGACCATTCTCGTGAACCTCCTCTGAACCTGCTCCAGGGCCAGTACATCCTTCCTGAGATATGGGGCCCAAAACTACACACAATACTCCAAATGTGGCCAGACCAGGGCCTTATAAAGCCTCAGTAGTACATCCCTGCTTTTATATTCAAGTCCTCTCAAAATAAATGCCAACATTGCATTTGCCTTCCTGACTACTGACTCAACGTGCAAGTTTACCTTAAGAGAATCCTGGGCTAGATCTCCCAAGTCTCTTTGCACTTCTGAATTTTCTGAATTTTCTCCCCATTTAGAAAATAGTCCATGCTCTTATTCTTCTTACCAAAGTGCATGACCTCACACTTTCCCGCGTTGTACTCCATCTGCCACTTCTTTGCCCACTCTCCTAACGTGTCCAAATCCTTCAGGAGCCTCCCCAGCTCCTCAATACCACCTGTCCCTCCACCTATCTTTGTGTCGTCTGCAAACTTAGCCAGAATGCCCACAGTTCCTTCCTCTAGACCATTAATGTATAAAGTGAAAAGTTGTGGTCCCAACACTGACCCTTGTGGAACACCACTTGTCACTGGCTGCCATCCTGAGAAAGACCCTTTTATCCCCACTCTCTGCTTTCTGCCAGACAGCCAGTCTTCTATCCATACTAGCACCTTGCCTCCAACACCATAGGCCCTTATCTTACTCAGCAGCCTCCTGTGCGGCACCTTGTCAAAGGCCTTCTTGAAACCCAGGTAGATAACATCCATTGGCTCTCCTTGGTCTACCCTGCTCGTTACTTCCTCAAAGAATTCTAGCAGATTTGTCAGGCATGACCTCCTCTTGATGAAACCATGCTGCCTTTGCCCTATTTTACCATACACTTCTAAATATTCCAAAATCTCATCCTTTACAATGGACTCCAAAGTCTTACCCACGACCGAGGTTAGGCTAATTGGCCTGTGATTGTCCATCGTTTGCCTTACTTCCTTTTTAAACAGGGGTGTCACGTTAGCGATTTTCCGGTCCTCTGGGACCCTCCCTGACTCTAGCGATTCCTGAAAGATCACCACTAATGCTTCCACTATCTCTTCAGCTATCTCCTTTAGAACTCTGGGGTGTAGTCCAAATGGTCCAGGCGATTTATCCACCTTCAGGCCAATTAGTTTTACTACCACCTTTTCCTTGGTGATGGTCACCATACTCAGCTCTGCCCCCAACTCTCTTGAATTTTTGGGATATTACTCATGTCTTCCACCATGAAGACTGACGCGAAGTAATTATTCAGTTCCTCAGCCATTTCCGTGTTCCTCACTACTATCTCTCCAGCATCATTTTCCTGTGGTCCAATGTCCACTTTTGCCCTTTATATATCTAAAGAAACTCTTACAGTTTTCATTTGTATTACTGGCTAGCTTACCCTCATATTTAAATCTTCTCCCTCCTTTTTTTTTGTTGCCCTCTGTTGGTCTTTGTAAGCTTCCCAGTCCTCTGGTTTCCCTCTGCTCTTCGCCACATTATATACTTTCTCTTTTGCTTTTATGCTATCCCTGACTTCCTTAGTCAGCCATGGTTGCCTCACCCTCCCTGTACTATGCTTCTTTTTCCTAGGGATGAATTTTTACTGTGTCTCCTGAATTACTCCCAGAAATTTCTGCCATTGCTGTTCCACTGTCTTTCCTGCTAGGCTTCTCTTCCAATCAATTCTGCCCAGCTCCTCCCTCGTACTTCTGTAGTCGCCTTTATTCAGCTGTAATATCGTTACCTCTGATTCTATCGTCTCCCTTTCAAATTGCAGAGTAAATTCTATCATATTATGATCACTGTCTCCTAAGGGTTCCTTCACCTTAAGCTCCCTTATCAAGTCTGCCACATTGCACAACACTAAATTCAGTATTGCCTGTTCCCTTGTGGGCTCCACCACGAGCTGCTCCAAAAAGCCATCTTGTAGACATTCCACAAACTCCTTTTCTTGCAATCCACTACCAACATGATTTTCCCAGTCCACCTGCATATTGAAATCCTCCATATTGTATTCTTTGAAATAGTATATTCAAATATAGACTTTTCTATTGACATTCAAAGGTCTTGCATTCAGGAAGATGTCCTGTTTCTCACCGTTTCTACTGTCACACATACTTGGCAATCATTGGGCCTGGCGTTTCTGTCTTGTCACCTGGCCAAATTGTGCAAGTGAGGTATAAGGGTTATGAGGAAAGGAGTGTGGGGGTGAGGGGAATGAAGGGGTGAGAGAGTGCGGCTTCAAAGTCATCTCCAGAACTGGGCATGCCTCTCAGGGAATGGAGGTAGAACTTTTCACTTCCCCCTTGTTGTAGGCCAAGTTACCAATTCTTCACCATGTCATCAAAACTTAAGACTGCATCCAACTTCAGGCAAATTAAAGCCCTGATTCCTCTGTGCTGATAACTCAAGGACATTCTCTCATACTGTGAAAGTCCATTGCCACATAGATTCGCTAAGCCCCTGGGTCATCCATCCTGGTTCAACTGAGTCTAGCTTCTTCACTTTGACAAAGGCTGTCAAAATCCAGCCCTGAATTGACCTACAAGAACCACTTACTCTTAAATGACAGGTATCCACCTCCAAACTGATAACATGTTGATCCTTGGACTTTACTGTGTATCTTTCCTTCTTCTAAAAAAAACAGAATCAAGAAACAAAAGAGTATAGTAAAGAAAAACGAGTAATTGACAATTTCCATAGTAAAATTAACATGCAGGGAATTTGGTCCTCAAATCAATCCCACAGAAGCATGTAATAAAAACTCAGTTTGAGTTACTGCAAATGTGTACTTCTGGTGATATTCTCAGTGTGACATAACACCTTTATTGTCATTATAGTATTCAGTATAGCTCTGTTGTAGTATTTTTGCCAATAAATCAAAAGGCTGTGGACTCAAGTTCCACTTCTCCTCTTGTCCAATTACAAACTGATATTTCTTTGCAGCCTCCAAATTGCTTCCTACGCAGAGTTTACTTTCCCATCTAACTTTGCACTGTCAGCAAACTTGGATACATCACACTTGGTAGCCTAATCCACTGCGACAATATTTACATTACACCATTAGAGTGTTACAATGCCCCAGTGAATTTCACAGGGCGTTATGAAGCAAAACTTGATAACAACTCGCATGAGGATATATGAGGACAGATGGCCAAAATCCAAACTAAAGTTGAAGAAGTTAAGGAAGAAAGTGGACATGGAGAGGGAGAAAGGTTTAGCGAGGGATTTTTAGAGCTTAGGACGAAGGTAACTGGAGGTGTGACCATAAGACATGAAGCAATGAAAAGCAGACATGCTGAGAAGGCCATGAGACAAAGAAATCTTGGGGGCTATGGGGCTGGAGGACATAATAGAGGGTAGAGAGTGGGCTTCAAAATATGGGTGAGAATGTCAAAATCAAGTCATTGCTTAAAGCTTAAAGACCCTGGGAGTCATGGTATGGGAGTGGGAAGAGAAGCCATTGTTGCTAGATTGAAGAATTTGGGACAGTTCTCCTTGGAGTGAAGGTGGCTGAGAGGAAACTTAATAAGAGGTTTTCAAAATTACAAGGTTGCTGGGTGAAATTGACTTGATACAAACAAGAACACGAGCCAAGTGTTTTGGAAAGCTTCAAGTTTATAGAGAGTAGACATTGGGAGGCCAGTTGTGTCGGAATAGTTAGTTAGATAAGGAAGGCATGGGATGAGGGTTTCAAACAGCAGATGAGCTAAGAGAGGGTGGAATCAACAACATTATGGATGTAGAAATAGGTAGCCTTTGTGAAGGTTTGGATGGTTGATTAGGAGCAAATGTAAGCAAAAGGTTGTGAACATTTTGGTTCTAGTTGTCAAGAGGGGTTTGGAATTTGCAAGGGAGGGACAGAAGGCAAGGCATTCAAGCTTCCTGATATTTATTTGGTGGAAAAGTCTGCTCATCCAGAACTGGGTGTTTGATAACGTAACAATAGTGACGGAGTCCAGAAAAATAATGATGTAGAAGCTCTGGGTGCCTTCAGAGTAAATGTGAATCTGTGTCTTTCATTGCTGAAGGGTAGATGAGAAACAGGAAAGGATCAAGGTTAGGTCCTTGCTGGACACTGGGCGTCATGGTATGGGAGTGGGAAGAGAAGTCATTGTTGCTGGATTGAAGAAGTTGGGACAGTTCTCCTTGGAGAGAAGGTGGCCGAGAGGAGACTTGATAAGAGGTTTTCGAACTTACAAGCAGGCTGTGTAGAGTGTATAAAAACCGAAAGAACTGTGGATGCTGTAAATCAGAAACAAAAACAGAATTTGCTGGAAAAGCTCAGCAGGTTTGGCAGCATCTGTAAAGAAAAATCAGAGTTCTGAGGAAGAGTCACCAGACCCGAAATGTCAACATATTAAATCCTGAAGGGACTGGACAGGCTAGCTACGGGAAGAACGCTCCTGATGTTGGGAAGTCCAGAACTATGGGTCATATACTCCGAATAAGGGGTAAGCCACTCAGGACTGAGATAAGGAAGAATTTTTTCACACAGAGTTGTGAACCTGGGGATTTCTCTCCCACAGGAAGCTGTTGGGGCCTGTTCATTAGATATATTCAAGAGGGAGCTGGACGTGGCCCTTGCAGCTAAAGGGATCAAGGGGTATGAGCGGAGGGTGGGAAAGGGATACTGAGATTACATGATCAGCCATGATCATATTGAATGGTGGTGCAGGCTCGAAGGCTGAACAGCCTACTCCTGCACCTATTTTCTATATTTCTATATTTCTGTACAGAGAAGCTGTTCCCACTCAAAAGAAAAAAAAGAACAACAGCAGATAGATTTGAAGTGATGGGCAAATTAAGCAAGGATGATGCGAGAACATGTAAACATTTCTGTACTATGGCAGGACAGGAAAAAGAATTGCAGGATTGAAACATGCAAATTAATTATATACATTTTAAGTAACCTCAGATACACACTGATCCCTGCAGTGTTCACTACTTTTTCAGTCATCCTCAAAATTACTTGCTTATTGCAACTGAATTTTTTTTTTTTATCCATTCACCTATCCTCAATCCATGCTAATATATTACTACCAAATCAAATCAGCCCAATTATGCATAACCTCTCATCATTGCCTTCTGAAAAATCTAAATATAACACAACTGGTTTGCTTTCATCTACTCTTCTGGTTACACCCTCAAAATGTTCCAATAGCTCTCAAATGCAATTGCATCTCTTAAAATGATGTTGACTCTTCCTAAGCATATTATGAATTTTATGAATTCCCAAATACCCTGTTAGCACATCCTTAAAATAGATTCTAGTTATCTCCAATGACTGATGTCAGATTAATTTAACTGCCCCAGTGGACTGGCCAATATTCATCCATTTCTTGACATCACCAATTGGTGAATGGTTGCAAAGCATTTCAGGATGTTGAAAAAGACAAGAATTGTTTTGTGAATTTACTCTCCGTCACACTGTCGAGGCAGATCTGCTGGTATACATCGAAAATGTTTACTTCAGAAAGTTGAAATCCTTTACTTCCAACTTACCGTACATTAACGACACTAATTTTTTAGCCTTTGATGGCCGCACCTTCAGCTGACTCAACCCAAGCTCTGGAATACCCTCTTTACACCTTTCTGCCTCTTTACATTGATTGCTCCTTTACAGAAGACCTACTGCTTTGACCAAGCTTTTGCTTATCCAACCCAATTCCCCTTATATGGCTTGATTGTCATAGTTTGTTTATAATGCTCCTGTCAAACACATTAGGAAGTTTAATTAAAGGTCTTACATAAACTTTATTTGGTGCAGCTTTCAATAAAAATTTAAATACACAACTCCCAAGAGTTCTGCAAGAATTTTCCCATCAGATCCTGGAATATAAACTTCATATATGATTCATTCTTTTTCATCATTGTCAATGCACAACTGCATTCTAAACTCCAACAATTAGGTTCACTTATAGTGATTGCAGGTACTGGCAAAGATACTAAAGAGCTTCTCCTGCTGATGAAACCTTATCCCAATGTGAGATACCATCTTTAGAAGGTGATTGGAAGGGGGACAAAATGACAGTCTTTGTTTCACTTCAAAGCCTCATAGGTTGTTGGAGATTTGGATAAACAATGTAAGTCACTTTCATAATAGCATTTACTGAAATTATGAGCAATCTATAAAGTCCTAGTCCTTCAGAATCTCATTTGTGAACTTGAAAAGGTTTATCACTACAAACAACTTTTTGCAGTACGAAATGTTACAAATTCTGTGCTTTGTCAAGCTGTAATTTGTCAGTATTCTCACTTTGAGAACTCTAAGAGAAAAGTAAGATCTTCCCCTGGGTGGGGGCATCCAAATTAAGTGAGGCATCAGGCAGTGTATAATAGGCCAATGGTGTATATCACCATATCTCAGATCCAATCCTGACTTTGTAATTTAGCCTGTTGACAACAGTGGTACTGTTGTTGACTGGCATTCTAACTTGTACATTGCAGAGGCTGAGCGCCAGCTCTCAGATATCTCCTCCTAGACCATGGCCCCACCATGGGACATCAGGCCATTGTACCCACTAAGATCACTAACGTTCTTTCATCTGGCGATCTCCCCTCCCCTCCCCTCTGCCTCATAGTCTCCCAACCCAGCACAGCCCGTTCCTACCTCCTTCCCAAAATCCACAAACAGGACTGCCCGGACAGACATATTGTTTCTGCCTGCTCCTACCCCACAGAACTCATCTCTTTCTACTTTGATTTGTCCAGTCCCTTCCCATCTACATTCACAATTCCTCGGACACTTTATGCCAGGTCCAGAATTTCCAGTTCGCGGGCTCCAGCTGCCTCCTCTATGCTACGGACATGCAATCCCTTTACACGTCCATCACCCATCAGGATGATCTCAGGGGTCTTCGCTTCTTCATGGAGAAAAGGCCTGAACTATCCTCATCTACCATCACCCTCTTCCACTCGTGCTTACCATTAACAACTTTTCTTTCAATGCCTCTCACTTTCTTCAGGTCAGAGGGGTGGCCATGGGTACCCGCATGAGCCCCAGTTGTGCCTATCGCTTTGTAGATACGCGGAACATTCCTTGTTCTAGTCCTACTCCAGCCCCCCTCCCATAATGCGTTCACCAGTAAATCGATGACATCATTGGTGTTGGTTTCCCCCTCTCATCCAGAATTAGCAAGGTTTATCAAATTTGTTTCCAATTTCCACTCTGCTCACACCTTCACCTGGTCCATCTCTGACTCCTCCCTTTCCTTCCTCGACATCTCTTTTTCAATTTCTTGGGATAGACTGGCCACCAATATCTATTACGAACCTGCTGACTTCCACAGTTACAGTGACTATACATCCTCACACCCTGCTTCTGTAAAGGCTCCAGTCCATTTTCCCAGTTTCTGTTCTGATGATGCTAACTTCAACAAGTTTCACCTTCTTCCTCAACCAAGGATTCTCCAGCTCCGTAGTTGACCAGGCCCTCAGCCGGATCCGGCATATCTCCTGCACTTCAGCCCTCACCCACTCTCTTCTCTCCCACAACTGCGATAGGGTCCCCCTTGTCCTCACCTACCAACCCACCAGCATCCACATCCAGAGGATCATTAGCTGCTATTTCTACTACATCCAGTGGGATGCCATCACCAGACACATATTCCCCTCCCTTCCCATCAGCCTTT